TGCGCATGGTGGATTCAACCCCAACATCACCTTCCCACATGGAGCGTTGCCACGTGCCTCACCCTTCGGTCTGAACCCCGACCAGCACACTCCCTCGCCCGCGTTCGCCGGCCTCCACACCTAGTACAACTACTCATCGCAGGTGTATTCAGCCTTGTCGACACCATCGCTGCGCCGGGGTGCCCTACCCTTCTCACAAGCCTCGGTGCCACATTTCGGCAACCCCGACGCGACCGACGCCGACATGGACGAGATCATAATGAGCGGCTCGGCCACCACCGCCTCCAACCCTGGGTTCCACGCGCAAGACGACACAATGGACACCGGCGTCGACATGGACAACGAGCTCGACGACGCCGAGGAAGAAGAGGAGGAGGAGATGGAGCCGGCGCCGGCGAGGAAAGGGAGAAAGAAGAAGTGGGGGGCTAATGCCAGGCCGGGCGAGCCGCGCGTCAAGTGGACGTGCAAAGAAGATGAGTGCCTCGCCGAAGCACGGAAGATCGTCAGCATTGACCCGATCACCGGCGCGAACCAGAACACCAACACATACTAGAGATGGATCAAGTCTGCGTTCGACGAGCGCAAGCTGGTTGACCCCTACTTTGCCACCATCCACATGCAGCGCGGCGAAAAGGCCATGTCCAATCATTGGGCGATCATTCAGGCGGCGTGCAACAAATGACATGGGATCGTCGAGGAGATCGCGATGCCAACGTCGAGGGTCAGGTATGTCCAGCCGACGGCTCAGTTCTTTCGTCGTGTACATCGCTAGCACTAGCTCTTCGTCTGCGCAAATGGTTCAGATGTTCAACATGTACCGCCAGGACAGCAGCGACCAAGAGTTCAAGTTCCTTCACGTGTTCTCCCGGATTGAGTCGTGCGAGAAGTGGAGGGATGTCCGGCTCACCCTCGCCAAGGCCAAGGAAACGTACAAGTCAGACACGCCCTCCCCGGGGGCGTTGGATGGGCGCCCTGATGGCAACAAAAGAGCCAAGACGGAGAAGGACGCGGCACCGGCTGCCTAGCGGCTGCAATCATCGATCGAGCAGTACATCACCGACGCCAAGAACAACGCCGCAAAGAGAGAGCAGAAATCCGACGCCCGGTGGTCAGCGGTGATGACGAAGCAGGACGTGAAGCTCGACCTACTCCGGACCAATGTCGCCATGAAGAAGAGGAACACCGACCTAGCGTTCTTGATGGGGACGGACATGTCGACGATGGACGAGCAGGTCAAGGCGTGGTACCTGGCAAAGCGCGACTCATCTTGAACCAGATGCCTTCGACAGCCGCGCCTACGCCCACGCCGACCCCAACGTCGACGCCCAGCCCGAGCGATGAAGCCACGCCGATGCCGACCAGCCCGAGCACAGAAACCATGCCGACCCCGACCAGTCCCACGCCGAAGGAGCCCGTCCTTTGATGCATTCCTTTGCCTACGCGTCCTTCCTTTTGAACGCCGAACTTTCGTGTATGTTTGATCGTCGAACTGTGGCATGTTGATCGTCAAACTGTGGCATGATGATTGCTGAACTTGTGGCATTTTTTTGGCAGCGAAAAAGACAAGTTTGAATTTATGTGCGTCTTGGGGCCGAAACCTAGGGGCGCGACTGGGGATTGGATCGCCTCCAGGGCGAAAAAACCGCCGGTGCATAGGCCAAAACACAACCGTCGGATGCGCTGGGGGCCGGACGAGTGGAGATGCTCTAACTCTGGATGTCGTTGCCAGAACACAGCATGCACGCAGCCATTCACATCATCCACGCCACGCACGCACACGTGGGCAACAACACTTATAGGAGATGCTTTTTCTAGAAAAGGAGGATGACCCCGGCCGCATCTGAGTGGTGCATGCAGTCATTTTATTAATTATTCATAAAGACCTTACAATTAATACATTAGGTAGTCTGAAGCCATCATCTTGGCAACATTTATCGCTACTCATATCCACTTGATGAAGGGGTGCCAATAGTCCAAGCCTAATGCCAAACAGACATCGCACCAAAGCTTAACATTTAAACCTAGAGGGCCCAACCAAGCCGCGTTGCTGGGGCACACACAGCTCCGGCACTCACAAAGGTCGTCACCCTCGTCTTCCACCGATCCATCTATAGAGTAGACACTGACGCATCGACCTTATCAGGCCTGCTGTCGACGCCACCACCGCGCCAGACGACACCACCATCCTACACGTATCCACCCACACACACCCGTCGCCATAACTCCGTAGCGCCATGCCACCGAGATCCGTCGTCGGCCTTGCGGTAGATGTAACACCGCTCCTCCTCTAGTCCCCTCCAACCAGCACTTGCTCCAAAATGATGCCCCCGGGAGGGAGAACGACACCAAAGGCGCGTCATCGTCTGATTGAAGAGACCCAGATCTAGGGTTTCCGCCAGAGCATCCCAAGCATGATGACGCAAACTGTAACGACAATGCCTCAGCAATGGAACAACATCGAAGACACCGCCACCGTCTGCCATGACCGTAGTCGGCACGATTTTCATCGACAGTCACGCCACCAGGCTGTGCCGTTGGCGTCGCTGGTCCCTTCAACCGGAGCAAACACCAGAAACAATGCCCTCAAGATGGACTACAACGCGAAAGCACCGCCATCGCTCGATACCAATGAGATCGAGGGTTTCCCCCGAAGTTGTCTGCGGTGTCAAGGACCCAGACAACGGTTGAATCCCGACATGATAAGAAGAACCCATCAAGATCCGCCCAGTTGCCGACGTGCCGCACCCGCCACTGCATCGTCGGCAACCCGGTGCCAGCCATCAAACATCACGAACATGTCCAACCACCAACCACGGCCAGATCTGGCCAAATCCAGCGACCCCATCCTGGTCATGGTCGCAAGCACTGAATCTCCCCAAGCTAGCCCGAGAGTGACGTCACAAGACGAACCTTGACCTCCACCATCGACCACCACTCGTCGAATCCCGCCGCCGTATGCTGAGATGCGCATTGGACCAGGACATCGTTGGCCGCCACCAGGTCCTGTCGCCCACAGAGCAAAGGAAGGCCGCAAGAGATGAGCCCTGCCGCCGCCATCAGCCACACGGGCTTCGCCTGGCGACGTCTTCCAACGACGGCAGGTGGGGGGAAAGGATTGACGCCGGCGGTTGCGGGTGGGGAAGCTGCTCTCGGGTCGCCCTTGGCAGTGCGATCGAGGGGTGCGGGGGAAAAGAAGCCGTGTAGAAATAGAAGTCCCACCAAAAAACTCATAAGAGATGCTTGATCGCAAGTAGAGTTAGTCAGCAAGGTGGGCTCAGGTCGGCTACTTTTATATGAAATCACACCGACTGCAAAGTTAATTGATCAACTAATGCAATTTTGGCGAACTAAGTCTAGCTCACATGGTTAGGTTACTTGTGGTGAAACCAACGGATCAAGGTTCAAATCCTAGACGTACAAATCCTAGACTTGGCACTGCTGCTCGCATTTTAGTTTAGGCTTTCCGACGATGTTTATTCTGTGTGAGTAGACGTTCTTGTCAACTAAAGAGGCTCCTATTGTATTTTCATCAATCTAAGATGATGTGTCAGCTTAGTCTCTCAAAGGAGCTCATAGGGATACAGTGTGCATGCATGTGTCCATAGAGGTGAGTGTATGTGTGTATATATCAGCGCCTACGTCTGTGTTTAAAAAAAACTAAAGCGATTTTGCAACATGTACGAAATTGCAGGTCCTAGGCAAGTTCGTGTATGCTAATTATCTCAAATATAAATACATAGGGTTACATGACAACATGTGATACACAAATATCTAGCTAGGTATTCATCCACTTATCAAAATGCCTACTCTACAAAGCCATTATGCAAAAGGAACTTCGACGTTGATCATGCTCCCTCTGTCCCAAAATTCTTGTCTTAGATTTGTCTAGATATGGATATACCTAACACTAAAACGTAACTAAATACATCCGTATTTAGACAAATCTAGGACAAGAATTTTGGGACAGAGGGAGTATATGCTAAGTGGGCACCAAATACTCTTTTAAGTTGTAACTGTTAAGTATGGACAAAGATCTACCAAGGCATATAATTTTAGGAAGAATAGCCCCTCAACTATGCCCATGCATCGTATGGTTGTAACATGTGTAGCTGTACTCCCATCAGCATGCACTGAGAGGTCTTCTAGGAGTAGAGTATAAGGAAACGAACCCTCCCGCCTCTTGTTCAAAAACACTACACAAATGTTGAGAAAATGGTTCAGAGCATCATCCGTGAGATAATTACAGGCAAAAGCGCTACAAAGGAACAGCATTTTTAAGTGAAACAAAGAGCCCTTTTGAATTTGAAGTCTCCGAAGAAGAGGACCTATATGAGTTGTATCTCTTTGTAAAAATCATATACTCTGGTCCCTCTTGGTTGAAGCATGGTTTATATTATGTATGTTGCAGACTTTAACATGTATCTATAAGTGTAACTCAGAAAAATTATGATGTTTTGAATGTACTTTTCAGAAGTAAATTTAACATTTTTTTCACATGCACTGTTTGCAAAAATAAATCCTCCCTCCAATCCATATTAACTGACGCTGGTTTAGTACAAAGTTGTACTAACTTTGACCTAACCCAGTGTCAATTAATATGGATCATAGGGAGTAAATACATGTACAATCTAGAACTTCTGTTAATGCGCATTACGAGAGGCTGTGTTGTGTTGTGAACCTACAATTAGTAGTCATACTTAGAGAAATTCATCGCAGGCAAAGGACAAACATTTGTAAGCAGATAGTGTGGTTATCTAAGTGGAGCAGTTTTAGTTCTAAGGAAGCCAGAATGCAGGCAGTTATTAAAAACAAGGAAATGAAGAAATGCAACAAGCGTGCACAAGTCAAATTGTTACTTACTCTTTACAGAAAAGACAATCAGAAATATACTTGTGTCCGTCTGTACATGGTCAGCTTATTTCACTTGGTCACCTCTGAAACCTATTGCGTCAGAAATATCTTCACTGCTGCCTTCAGACAATTTCATTTCCTTCACTTCCTCAAGCTGCCTGAGGAGATCTAACCTCTCGGGGCCATATGTGGATGGGATCTACAATACACAAATATACACTTACATTTACATGTTGCAACGAAGGGAGTAATAAGGGTTTGTACAGAGTTACAAACCATGGAAGGCACATATCTCTGGATGAAAGCCAAAATAGCAGCATGCCCAACAGCAGTAACCTGGAAACAAAGGCACCTGTTTATAATGCTCTGACATGGAGACAACTGCACTAAAGACGAAGTTCACAAGCTAAGAAATATGATTTAAACTCTTAGGCGCACAAAACAAAATCCTTGACCGTCACAACTTGGTGTTAAACGAGATTGGATTGTCTAGTCAGTATGGGTAACAGTGGATGAAGCAAAGAGATTACAGGATTATGGCACAAAACTGGAAGAAAGAAACAATATGGACCTCCGGAGACTTGTTCTCCTACAGCTTGATTTGTGGGAACGCAATCAGTAGGGGAGGATTAGATTAGGATCAATATGGGAGCACTTGGGAGCCATTGAAGGGAAGATGCAGCAAGGGCTGGAGGCCCTAGGTGCAGATGTTACGCATGAGGAGCCGAGGGGCAGAGAAAGAAGGGGTATCTTCTAATTCTCTGCTTCATTAAATCTCACGGTGGCTACCTCATTTATATATATGATATATAGAGGGTCTGCCTTACAAACCAACTATGAGTCTGTGACTAATGAACAAACCTAGGTCTATTCATACGGACTAACCTATAGCTTTCCTATCAATAGTAATAAGTCTACCTAAGGACTCTAATAGGAATTCCTCCTGATGATGTGTTCCCCTAATCTGGAGGATTACCAGGAGAGGCTCCATCTTCTATTGGTGTTATCTCTGAACTAGACTGCGGAGGCACCGAGTGGCAACCATGACCATGACCCGTATATGTCTGCCCCTACATAACATCTCTCCTTCCGTCGACGAACAGCTCGTCCTCAAGCTGGGACGCAATATAAAGACGCTTGAAAGCTTCAACATCTTCCCATGAAGCATCTGAAGCTGGAAGGCCTTCCCACTGAATAAGCACTTGCCACACACCTTTGTACAGCTTGGCTCGAAAGACTTTGGCTAGCGAAGGAACCACACTACCATGGTTTGCGGTGGCCACCGAAAGGTCTTCCCGAGGGTCCTCTCTCTAGATTCGGGCGGTTGACTTCAGTGGGGAGTTGTAAACTATGGACGACGGCTTGACGCAGAGGGATGGTTGTGCAGCACCCGCGGTCGCACATCGCATGTAGCTGCTGGGATCGCGGAAAAGTGATGGCAACAACACACGTGACGTCGAGGGTCCTCTCTCTAGATTCGACGGTTGACTTCAGTGGGGAGTTGTAAACTATGGACGACGGCTTGACGCAGAGGGATGGTTGTGCAGCAGCCGCGGTCGCACATCGCATGTAGCTGCTGGGATCGCGGAAAAGTGATGGCAACAACACATAAGTGACGTCGATGGTAGTGCTACTCGAGCACCCTAGGTCTGACATGAGTTAGTTATACCTCGTAATGGCGATGTTTTTACGTCATTACCTTGTTGAAGGCATTGCTCAGATATATGGAAAAAGGCTTTCGCCCCGCTTTATATATAAAGCAACACAGCCAAACTCATGGTGATGAGGAGAACCTCTTACAAAGCAGATCGAAAGAAAGCAAGAAATACAGGAGAATCCACACCCTACCACAAAGCACCCTAGACTACCGACAAAGAAGATGACTAGCCACCAGGGGAAATCACCGGACCTCAGTCCGCCACACTCACCAAGCTGTCGTCGGAGAGGGCCCCCTGCCCTCCCGCTCCGGGTCGTGGAGCCCGAACCTGCAAGCGAATAGCGAGGACCGTGGGTGGCGCCAACGAGGACCTGTGTAGAAGATACGGAGGCGAGTGCAACCACCCACACCAGAGTCGAGGAGACCTCAAGTCAGGATCCGAATAAGTCTGCCGATGACAACACGGTGCGCTGGAGGAAATCTGGGCTCCACGACGACGCCCTCCGGAGGAAGACGAAACCGCGCGTCATCGCCGTCGAGACCAAGTAGTCAGTCAAGGGTTTTCACCCGAAGCCCTCGCTCAGCGAGAGGGACCGCAACGACGCCCTCAAGAGGGAAATGACACCCACAAGCATCACCGTCGTTGGCACTGAAGCACAAGGTTTTCACCTAGAACCTCTCACCCACGCCACCCAAGGAACTCCGTGCACCTGTCTACCCAGAAGAAAGACATGCCGCGACCAAACAAGATGTCCAGAGCACGCTAATACCAGGATCACTGAACGCAACATCCTCTGCCACCCACACGGCCAAAGGATGCAACCATCACCGCCGCCAAGACACCTGCTGAGAAGCCATCAACCTTGCTGTGTCTTGCACATTTGGTTCTATCAGATACTCTACTCCAAACACCTTCACCATTATTCGGGTAAATCTCACAGTGGCCTTCAGGCATGTGCTCTCTCCCATCCGGACCATTTCACCAACGGCATAGATGGCAGTACCTAATGCAAGCATCCTCAAAGCAACCGTGCATTTCTGCTTAGGAGAGAACGAGAGTTGTCTGCAACAATCCCTGTTGAGCCTGAAGTACAAATCATGTGCCTCCACTCCCTCCACCACGCGCAAGAACAAGGGTTTGCGCAAACGAAAGCGTCGACAAAAAAATTATCAGGGACTGTTGGTCCGGGCTTAAATAGTCCTTATAGAGCAGCCGTCCTCCATCGACCCTATTCCGGTTGAAAACTCTTCTCCCTTTGATCATACCCTTGAAGTTCAGAATGCGCCCCACCTCCCTGTCCATTTCCTCTTGGATGCTCATGATCATCATCATCTCAGCATCTCCGTCCGACTCCGACGAATCGAAGAACTCCTTTTGCATTAATTTATCAAGCTCCTTGTTAACCCTCTGAATCTATCATTTTGCCTACAAAAGAACAAAAAAGACTGCTCGGACAATTTGTCGAACACATGGAGGGCATGGTACAGTCCAAGAATAGCCAGACGTACCACTGGTGGTGACAATATCTAGGGCGGCGCCGAGGGGTCAGGATGGCGGCGGGGCTAGGGGAGGGCCGGCGCGGACGAGGGAG